TCTAGAGATGAGCAGTTCTTTCATGTGGCCATGTCACGTGCGTTTCAGGATTGAGTTCAGGCTCCAGTCTCTGCGATCATAGATTCACCTAGACACGTCACAGCCCTTCTGTTTCCACTCTGTTGTAGTGAAAACCACAAACTCTCACAGGGCTGAGGAGCCACGAGGCCAACACAGTGGAACCACAGTTCTTCTTGGAGGTCTACACGAGCTAGTGCAATATAGATACAAGCAGCAGCAGAGAGCTTAGGGCACCTTATGCCTGTTCCTCAAGAAAGACATATCTGAAATAACATTAGCCAGCTTTCCAATGTTAAGCAAATGTGTTTCTCCTAAGATGTCTCTAGAAGGTGGTCCTGGAGATTGAACTGTAAGGTTGTATTTGCTGGGATATTAAAAAAAAAAAAAGACAGTTAAATACCTTTTTTTTTAAAAAAAAAAAAAGGGAGAGAGGAATTTGGTTGCCCAGAAGTTCACGTTTCCACCACATCTATTCTGAGTTCACCTCCTGGATTTATATCTCTGCTGTTGGTAATCTCTGAGAAACCTGCATGGGATCTCATTAGTTTCAATATGGCTTTGGTGGCAGGTTGAGTCAAGAAAACAAGTAAGTTCTTTAAGCCCCATAATTTTTGGAAAATGTAATTGTTGCCCGGGCAATGTCACCGTGACAGAGAGCAGCCACAGCTCCAGACAGACCTTTTGGCACTTGGACTGCTGGTTGTTTGAAGAGGGGAAACAGTCATAAACAGTCTTTGCAGACTTGGGGCTGCTCTGTGACATGTGTTTTCTTTTGAGAGTATGGAGTCAAGCTTTCAATTTCCTGGCAAAGAGAAAAATCTGAGCTCTAATGGGACGACTTAATAACACTGTCTCTGAATCTGCGATGGATTTGCTTCCTTTATGGTCCGAATCTGCACACAGTTTATTTTACTGTGGTAGCATTCCCAAGCCAGGTAAAATAAGGGAGCTTTTCTGCCTCCTGTGAGGAATGTTAATTATTTTCAGTATGGTAAAAATGTGCAGAATCCATGACAAGACTTGGCATGGTGAGGAAGGAAACAAAGTACTTGTGAAAAAAAAAGAAAATAGCAAGTGCAAAACTATGAGACTGGAAAAGATCGGTATATTTATTTGCAGTATGGTCTTACTGTACAGGTAAACTGGGAATTAGTGGTGAGAAGACAAGCTGTGAAGCAGAACTGCTGAGCTCTAAGTGAAAGGATATAGATGCTACCAAGCAAAGTCCTTAAGCATGTATTTGGCTTTAACCATGTTCTTAAGCAAGGTGTGGGTTTCAGTCAGCATGATGGTGTCATAAATTAGTATTCCAATAAGTATTAGCAGGACTCAAAAAACACAGGAATGTTCCAGCAGTAAAAACCAGGCCAAATTCTAACAAACCATTTGCATGGCTCATATATACGGGGAAAACCTGTCTTTATTCATTGTAGGGAAGACCAGCTCACTTCAGGAGGAATGTAGTACTGCAGAAGAAGAGCCAAGAGAAACCTTGCATAAGGATCAGCTGTCTTACTGTTTTTATATTTGCCAGAGCCCTGTAGAGAGACAACTGGGAGAGGAAGGGATCAAATACCCAAGGTGAGAGCTAATTTAAAACAAAGAGTTTTGTTACACCTCAGTATTGTCAGTTTTCTTAAAAATGCTTTTCTGCCTATATTTGGTTTCATAATGAAGGATTCACTGCACATTAAAATTCAAGGCTTCTGAGCAATTCTGCAATGTGGATTGTCTTTGAATATGGATTTTCCTATGTGTCACGCATGATCCATGAGGCACCACAGTCATTACATATTTTCCTGGTATTACTTTTCCACATAGTCATATACTAATAGATGCCTTTGCATGAAATTAAGCTGCTTCAACCAAGAAATAGGAGTCAGCAGCATGTTAATAGCCATTTCTCCACAGATAGTTTATTGACAGCTAGTTTCTGGAACAGAATAAACACCATTATAGGTTGGGGCAGAAACTGTAGTAAGTAATGATACTGTATAGGCACACACATTTTTATTGTGTTTTATATGCATATACCTTTTGAGGTCCTACCCTTGGTAGCCCAGAACTGCTTTGCAGATTGTTTGGAAAACACAGTCTCTCTGTCAAATGCATCTTAAATGGAGTGCAAGATAGAGACCAGAAGTGTGATGTGTGAACAAGGTTTTGTGACAATAACTTGGAAATGCCGATGGAAGTAAAACTGTGAATGAGATCTCCTGGGCTTAGGGGATGGGAAGTTTAGTGGCTGTACACTGAAGTTTAACAATTCTGACAAGTCACATCTGTAGTAGTAAAAGTGGGTCCAAGGCATGGGGTTTCGTGCTACCACATTGCAGTTCATGTTGTTTATATCTTAGCATAACAACTAGCACTCTCCCAGACACTGTCTAGGCAGGGTAAAGGGAATAAAACAGAAAAGAAACAGTTCCCAGCTGACAATAGGCAGGAGACCACTGTTTTGGAGAAGAGAGAGAGTTTAGCTGCATGTGTGGGTCCTGCAGCAGAGGAGTCCTCCTATTTGGGATCGCAGGATAACTGGTAGAAAGGGACCTCAAGAGGTCTCTGGTACAGCCCCCTGCTCAAAGCAGGGTCAGCCATGAGGTCAGATCAGGCTGCTCAGTGCTTTATTCAGCTGAGTCTTGAAAGCCTCCAAGGATGGAGCCTGCACAGCCTCACCAGGCAACCTGCTCTACTGCTTCGCTGTCTTTGTAGTGGAAAAGGTTTTCTTTATTACCCTCTGAACAGCCCTCAAGCGTATCAGCTGTTCCCCTCAGTTTGGTATCATATGCAAACTTGGCGAGAGTGTGCTCTGTTGCCTCCTCAAGGTCATGGACAAAGATGTTAAGCAGAACAGGTCCCAGGGTAGACTATTGGTTACAGTGCTCTGCTCGTAATGAGCACCCAGGCAGAGTATCACCCTTTAACCACCCTCTGAGCCTGTTAAACCACCAGTTTTTTACCCATCTAGTTGTCTGTCCATCCAGACCATAACATCCTAATTTGGATAACTGTATGTAGAAAGGGCTTGTATCTACCTTGCTAACTCCACAGGCAGAATGAGAGCTTGAAAGAAATTGGAAGAAATGTATTGTAAGGAGGCACTTCAAGAGAGTAAGGTCAAACAAGGCTCTCAAGTAGAAGAAACTGTATGAGAGACTGTCCAGGAGGAGAGTGGATATGGAAGTGTCACGATAGGCCAGTAGTTTGAACAGAACAAACTAGGCTCCAGATGGAGAGACTGAGCCTGGTAATACAGGGTACAAAATGGTTTTATAATGAACCCATAACCACAAACTATGCACCAGAAGCTTTTCACAAGCCAGGTGATAGGTCTTCCCGGAGGTTTTATACTGTGATGTTCAGCTCTCCACTCCCAGAAGAACATGAGCACATGGGATTTCTACCCTGCTTAGAGGAAGAAACGCTTCTCCTGCCTTTGAAATGCTGCCTTTTCTGCATGGAAAGACAGTAGCAACTAAACTGCATAAAGCGTTCTTTTCCAACCATAAGAAATGGAGCGTTGTCACTGTTGGAAACAGAAGGGCAGTATAGGAGTCCATGTGCAGCTGGGATGGAAAGGCAAGACATCAGTAACCCCAAACATTTACATTAGGATATGCATTACTCTGAATGCCAATTTGCAAGGCAGAGACAAAGCTGTTCTCAGTTGTCAAGCAGAACTGTCAACAACAACAAAAGAGGTCAGAGACGACTTCTGTTTTCTCTCTGAAAATACGTGTAATATTACAGGAGTAAGAGAGAT